CCAGGGCAGAGCAGAGGGGGAGGATCAGCAGGTCAGGTCTGTCTGTCCCATTTCCTACAGGCAGCAGCAGCACCACCACAATCCTGATAACATGCAGCAGGTTCTGAGCTGCTCTGAATCCCTGTTTTGGTCTCACTGTATATTCTGCCCATTACAGAGGGTTCCACCTTCACTGTAGACTTGAAGTCCGTGAGTGCTGTCATAGCGAGACATCTGAGGTGGAGGGCAGCCCCCCAAACTATCTTTCTCTATCTTCTTTGAGGGACTTTAGTCATTTTTTTGCCCACACAGCTGTCTGCCAGTGAAGCAGCTGTTCGTACGGCTTGGCATATCCACCTCCCCACCGAGCATCCTGGATCCTGCGGTTCTCAGTATATTGAGAACAGCAAAAAGGTGAAATATAAGGTTATTAAAAGCACATGGTGAAAAAAAGGAAAGGAAGGAAAAGGAAAAGGAAAAGGAAAAGGAAAAGGAAAAGGAAAAGGAAAAGGAAAAGGAAAAGGAAAAGGAAAAGGAAAAGGAAAAGGAAAAGGAAAAGGAAAAGGAAGCCAATACAACCTTCAGAGTCTAACCCTGAAACAGAGGACAGAAGCACTGCTGCACATTTCTTATCTATCTATATATTGATCTGTTGATCAGTCTATCCTTTCACCATTCAGCACAACTGGATGTTTCTTTACCTAATCATACTGCTCTATCTAACATGCTCTATCTAATCATACTGATTAGATAGAAAATCAGTTTGTATGATTATACCAGGAGGGTTTGAGGGCCTAATTATAAATTCAGATTACACATGAATATGTATTTGGAACGTTGCTATTGTTTGAGCACCTTCATTGCATAAAGGCATTACCTCAGTATTTATCGCTCCTCACTGCGGTCAAACTCAAAATGATCCCTCCCTCCCCTGTGAACACTAAATTTAATAGTTATTTAACTGTCAGTTGGTTGGTTAAACCAGTAGGAAGCAAATTTACTTGGAGAGAAGGAAAGCTGTGTTCTAGATACCCAGGATGATACTCAGCTGGGCTGCAGGATTAGGGATGTAGTTTTCCTTGCAAAGGTGCATTTGCACAGCATTAAAACAGTTCTCAAGAGTTTTATACCTATGAGTTTTTAAAAGAGTTTTTTTTTTAAATTGTATATTTTTTTAAAGTATCAAGTGTTGGGGAGAGGGAAGCATACATCATTGTTTTTGTTAAACTCTAAATTAATGCAATTGCCCACTGTACTTCATGATACCATTATGAGAGAAGCTCGGAAGTTGAGTAGAAATTCAGACCAGCAATTCATGGGAAATACAGAGAATGAATGAACTTGCATGACACAAATAAATAAATAAAATTCTCAGAAGCAAACCACTGCCTCATGTCTGTCTAGAAGGAAAGGTAAGAAGCATATAAAATCCTTCCTATCTGAAGTAGTGGAAAAATCTACCTTGAAATTAATTCGCCCTCATTCCATTCTGCCTTCAGCACCATCCAACATAATAAAACAAATTACAGTTGGGGAATGTTTATTTTTTGTTTATTACTTTACAGTAGTAGGAGCCAGATGCATGACTTCTCAGGCAGGGAAATCCATCACTAACTCTCTGCTCCCCGACTCAATGATGCTTATGTGCCTTCGCACAGCATTAAAGCTGAGCTCTACGATAATATAACACACGGGGCTGCCTCAAACTCCACGCATTTACAAGTTTTTTCAGTGTTACCTCAGGATGATTTTGTAGAGGATCTACGTTGTTAAAAAATGAGGAGAGCAAGACTTTTACCTCAGACTGATGGGATTTTGCAGGAGCTTTAAATTTAAACTCACATTCCCTCAGCACTTTTCACTGTGTAGGTGGTGGAGATACGTGGATTTATTTTTTTCCCCCCCTACAGGGCACGTAATACAGCTTTGGGCTGTATAATTATCTTCTTCAAGGAGTTAATCGCTGATCACAGTAGAAATAACTTCATGGGTCTTCTGAAATGAAAAAACACTGTACATTTTATCTCTAAAACCAAATACTCACAGCTGAAGCGGAATATTAATAGTTGATGGTTACGTACCCGTTTCTCTGGCCTGTTCTTACCTGTCTGCTCTAGATGTAAAAAGTATTTAAGGTTTAGTGCTGAATGACACCTCTCCCACCGCTGGAGTAGGAGGCACAAATATCAAGACCATAACACAAGGATGTGAACGATAGGCTCTAACAACTTTCCCAGGTTTTTTAATAATAAGCAGCTAAAAAAAGTTACAGCTAGTCTTGAGAGTCACGAGCCTGGCTCTTGCAACACTCCCTTTAAATATCTGCAGTTACTGATAGTTCAAGACTATGTGACAGCAGGTTGTGAAAGGAAACACAATCCATCTAAATTTACCAAGAAAAAATCTTTTTCAGGAAGGTATTTTGCATTAAGACGGGTGGGAGAACAAAAGTGTGGGAGACAAGGAGATATTCTTGCTGTTCAGAGAAGTTTCTACTCACCTCCACAAAGGAGAAACCCCGGCCTTCTGAGCTGAGTTTTCCTCTTTAAAATGACAGTGACACAGAGATGCACATCCCCCTGGAATACTTGCCCCACCTGGAATACTGCGTCCAGTTCTGGAGCCCCCAACATAAGAAAGACCTGGAGCAGTTAGAACAAGTCCAGAGGAGGCCACCAGGATGATGCGAGGGCTGGAGCAGCTCTGCTGTGAGGACAGGCTGAGAGAGTTGGGGCTGTTCAGCCTGGAGAAGAGAAGGCTCTGGGGAGATCTTATAGCGGCCTCCCAGTACCTGAAGGGGCTACAAGAAAGCTGGGGAGGGACTTTTCATAAGGGCAGTTAATGACAGAACAAGGGGAAATGGGTTTAAGCTGAAAGAGGGGAGGTTTAGATTAGATATTAGGAAGAAGTTTTTCACTGTGAGGGTGGTGAGACAGTGTCCCAGGTTGGCCAGAGAAGCTGTGGCTGCTCCTCCCTGGAAGTGTTCTCGGCCAGGCTGGATGAGGCTTTGAGCAACCTGGTCTAGTGGAAGGTGTCCCTGCTGCTGGCAGGGGGGTTGGGACTGGATGAGCTTTAAGGTCCCTTCCAACCCAAATCATTCTATAATTCTGTGATTCTATCCCACGCGCCCTGGCTCGGCATCCTGCCTTCTTTAAGCCCAGTACCACTGGTTCCAAAACCAACTGCACACCTCAGAAGTGCCCTTTCTCCTCTGTGACATGGGATCACATGAGCCATCGTAAGACTTTGGTGGACAGACAGTAATTTTGTAATTTTAAGAAACTTTAAACCAGTAAATGGGACAGCTATTGTGACTCTAGTCAACAGCTTAAAAACCCCTAAAGGTAACACTAACAGAGTGGAATCATTGCTTTATTTTTTTATTATTATTTTCATGTACATAAAGGCAAAATAACATCATGTCTTAAGAACCACTGTCATGATTCATCCAATTAAGCAGTCAGCAGCAGAATTACCAAGACATAAATAGAGCCTGTTATACATATTTATAAATATGACCCTGTCCCTGACAATCACAAGCTTTTCTTGATGGGAATGTTTACTGAAGCCTGCAGTCAAGAGGATACACTGCTGTAATCAAGATTAGCTAAAAAAAAAAATAAAAATAAAATTTAAAAAAGTATAAACTGACATCACACATGAAGTTCCAAGTGGATCTGGGTCTCCACTGCAAAACAAAGTATATTGGAGAATACAGACATTTTAAATCTCTGAATGATTTACAGTACCTGGGAAAGAAGCAAAGTTTGCTGCTACTTAGCTAGTAAGATTCTGTGCCATCATTCTTGCATCACTGCCAATACACTTAATATTGTACTTCTGTGTGAGGCCAAGAGGGAAACACAGACAAGTACTCCCCATTGCCAACAGCGCTCAACTTTCAGGGAGGAAGAAAATAAAAGTGAAATTCAGGGTTCTCCTTTCAAATAAAGTGTATTTCTCTGGTGTAACCCATGTCAACAAGAAAATAACCTACTGTTACTGAAGAAAAAGTAAAACTAAAGACAAAGTTGCAATTGATGCAGCAAAGAAACAAAACCAGACACAAACAAATAAGAAAAGCCCAAACCACATATGCTCCTGGTAGATGGACTAATTAAGTTCCAGGAGTGGAAGATTTTTCACTTGAGATAATCCATACTAGGCACTTGCTGACAATTTCTCATGCAGTTCCAGAGTTCTAACATCTCCATTAGCTTTGGCATTTTCTATAAGCACCTGCAGAGAAAAACAAGGAAAAAACGAGAATTTAATCATTTTATTGTTTATACTTTATTGACAATCTCAAATGAGTTTTGATTTTGATGCAGTTTCCTTACAAGATTAAGTAACCCATAAGCCCAGATAGGAAATATGCAATATTACCCATCAGCTTCCTTAAAACGTCAGGCACTTAAAATATCTCTCCATCTAGTGACTTGATAAACCTGCAAGTCACTTGCAATGCACTGCAAGAGCATAATTTGTCACTTGAGGCTGAGATCAAGTCTGACAAGTAAGTTACCTGCTGGCAATGAAACAAGCAGAGACAGATGAGACCCATCTCCCTGCTGACACACATTTGCCTCCTGCTAGTACTTTTGTATAAATCTAAATTTGACAAACAGGAGATTCTCTGCAGCTACTTAAAACAAAATTGCTAAGGTATCTTTTTGCCTCCCCTGTTTAAATTTAACCTTTCCTGATTTATTTTCCACACCTCCTATTTCCAGTTTTTCCACTAGTTAAAAAAAGCACCCGTGACAACCTAATGTTCGCTGATATTCATAAGTTTCTGGCACTTCTCTGGTCATCCAATCACATTATACATATTCAACAGGAAAACCATTAAGTGGGATCAAGCACATCTTCAGCTGTTGTTTTTACTGTACTCTTCGTGGAGAGTACAGATGATTTTGCAGAGGCAAGTGCAATGGGATCACACCACGATCATCCAAACTCATTAATTCTAGCTTTTTTACGAACCTGTGTGTCTGTGTATGGGTTTTTATCAACCCTGAGCCTGCCTGATGTGTTACACCTCTGACTGTACTTTCCTCCAGATCCAATGTTTCACCAGGGAAGAGCTGTTAATCTGGGCAAAAGAGCTCATCGTGCCGGTGGCAGCAAGTGAGGAGATGATTAGGAGAGAGCATTCGGGGTTGGAGTAGCGAAGTGATGCCAATTACCAGCCAAAATGAACCACTCACATGAAGGAGCTGTGTGGATCTGTGAGTTTGACCAAATTCATTTGTGCAGTACTACCAAAAGAAACTAATGGACCAGTTAGAACAAGTCCAGAGGAGGCCAACAGGATGATGATGCGAGGGCTGGAGCAGCTCTGCTGTGAGGACAGGCTGAGAGAGTTGGGGCTGTTCAGCCTGGAGAAGAGAAGGCCCCGGGGAGACCTTCTAGTGGCCTCCCAGTACCTGAAGGGGCTCCAGGAAGGCTGGGGAGGGACTTTTCCTAAGGGCAGTTAATGACAGAACAAGGGGAAATGGGTTTAAGCTGAAAGAGGGGAGGTTTAGATGAGATATTAGGAAGAAGTTCTTCACTGTGAGGGTGGTGAGCCAGTGTCCCAGGTTGGTCAGAGAAGTTGTGGCTGCTCCTCCCTGGAAGTGTTTAAGGCCAGGCTGGATGAGGCTTTGAGCAACGTGGTCCAGTGGAAGGTGTCCCTGCTGCTGGCAGGGGGGTTGGGACTGGATGAGCTTTAAGGTCCCTTCCAACCCAAACCATTCTGTGATTCTATGATTCTATAATGTACCCTGTACTGAAAATAACGTACCATTACAGAGACAATAAAAATCCTAAGTACAGGAAGTACAGCTCTCTACTGTTCAGATTTTTTTTGCACCAAGGATACCACTCTGTTCCAGCCAGGTTAAGGGGAATTAACAATTTTAGTGCATTAATGTATTTTGGTAAAATTCTGATAAAATGGTCCTCGTGTCTACTGAAGAGTCACCAGTGGAGTTCCTGCCTGTTTGGATTAGAGAGATTTTACTGTTTGTTTTTCATTAATACTGCAGGGAGGAATAGAGGACTTTCAAACAAACCGGATGCAATTTTGAAAACTGGGGTAGGTTTTGTCAGTATAGATTCCTTAAAACATTGCAACCTCTAGAGCAAGCGAGTCAGCACACCCCTCACCGCCCTCTCCACCCCACTTTCAAGTTGCAAGCACAATATTTAACATAAATAGACTGAATTTCTATATAAAACGGACTGCCTTACATCTATTAATTCACAATCATCTTTGGCATACAGATGTTGCAGGAGGTACCAGCGTGCCACTGACGCTATGGTTTCTGGATTCCCCGGTTGATACACCATTTTCCTCTCTTTCCAACATTCGACGAGTCTCCCTAGAATTATAACCAAAACATAAACCAAATTAAATGCAACCCACTAGGCTGCATGTAACACAGCAGTATCCCAGAGCAGGCAGCAAGGATCAGGGGTAACAAGGGAAGGTCCTTATTTCCATTCCACCCAAAAAAGTGAGGGAGCAGAGCTGTACCTTCCTTTGTTTCCCATGTAGTTGCCTCTAGAATGCTAAGGAACACTGCCACCGTTGTTATGCTTAATATATTACCCTCAGGTTAGTGCTTTACCTAGCAAGTAACCCAAATTAGATTGTCATAGCAGATTTTATGACTGCTACAATAACATGACAAACATCACACTGTCAGCACAACCTCCAACTTCAGTATGTGATCAGCTGAAAAAAAAGACAGCAGGTATTCTGCTGTTTAAGAGCTATGAAATAAATCCTTTGGACGACAGGGCACCTGAGAGAAGCAGGTGGTTCAATAAACCTTAATAATCCTGATAGAATTTAATATTGTACAGAAACATATTTAATCCAGGCGCTCACAAGAGGTATCGCAGTTCCTGCAAACACAGAGGCAAGATGTGAAATTCCAGAAGAGAAGGAAATTGGAACAGAAATTACTACACAAAGTCTAAAATTCCATGTGGCTGATACCACCTTCCAACACCACCCACTGATACCTAACCAGCACATTTTCAAATTCACTGTGCTAGAAGAAACCTGGTAAAAACTGGCAATAAAGTTTAGGGATGTCATATTCATTCATGGGTGCTCCATCAGCTTCGGCTCTTGCTTCAAGAATTCTGTCCTTTACAAGCAATGTGATTTTCCAGCACATTGTGATGATCTAACAGGCTGCTGAGAGGTTACATCTTGTTTTTTCTGTCCTATTTTTAGTTAAGATTAATTTCTTGTTTCAGGATTTTGAAACAACTAGTCAGATCAATTAGATCTTGTGATATAACTTACGGTTCACCTAAGTTAATACCTGAAATTGTAATAAGATTGATTTTAATTGATTAATTAAGTTTTCGGCCCAATTTTGTTAGAATTGACAACCATCAAAATCCCATCAGGCTGCCTGTCACCTTCTCAAAAGCCCACAGAGAAAGCAAGCCAGCTTGTTAGAGTAATCTATAAAAACAGGTGAAACTATTGAACAAAACCATCAAGAATGTTTTAATTTTCCACAGTTTAAACAAAAATACTGTAAAAGACAAACTAGACTGAATAACCAAACTCACAAAGTAGGAGGCTTCCAAGCCCCCTCCTCCAGACCTTCCTCCCCTTCCTCCAAAAGCCACAATGAGGACCTGGTTGTTGGGGAATGTAGGCAAATTTTGACTGTGAGGACAATTTAGGATTAAAATGAATCCCAGCAGTAGATAGGGTAGGGAGATCTGTTTCTACAGTGCCATGTAACAAGATCTTTGAGAGATGCATAGCCTTCCTGATTAATTTATTTAGGTAACATGCTATTAAAATAGAAGTTGTCTTACATCTGTTTTTCTCTAGGTATGAAGGTCATTTTTTAATTTTTTTTTTTGAGAAAAAGAAGAATATTCTGCTGCTTCTGGTTCCCCACACTGCTAACCCCTTCCACATCTCCCTTTAACTGCCACGCTACTTCAAGAATTGATCCCTGTTTTCAATAGTTCTTGGAGTTAGATCTGTGGATAATGTCTGCTTGTACTTTTAGACAGTGTGTTCCACTTAAACTCAAAGAGATCAGGCATACCTCGCTCCCATTTTGCGATGATACTGCAGCAGTGCTTGTAGGAGAGCTGCCAGGGGGCAAGAAGAAAGTTTCAAAGCTTCAGTTGTTGCCTCCTGAACCAAGGATGGCCAGTGCTCATCTGAGACATTAGCCTATGATAAGGGGAAAATAAAAAAGAAAAAAGAAAGGGTTTTATTGTAGTGTGCAGTGTAAATCAGGTTTTGTTTGTGGCTCCCCAAAGAGTAGGTTTATTTCAAGCTGTTCTGAGTTATATAAAATATTTGGCATGTTAGAAAGATATTTCTTTAAAACAAACAAACAAACCCCACCAACAAACAGTGGTTAGAAGAGCCTGGAAAAGTCACATTAAATATTCTAGGAACAGTCTTGCGAGCATTCCATCATTTATGCAAAGAATCTTTTTATTTTCTTCAACATATGTTTTAGTAAAGCTTGTTTTAATCACAAACCCTTGTTTGCTCCTGCAAATTTCCATTCCATGTACAATATTATTCTAGAATATAGAATTTATCCCCAGAGAGACTACGTATTTTACCGTAAGTAAAAACCAAGTCCAGGATGGTAATTACCTAATAGAGCAACTATTGAGCAAATCCCTATATCTTCTGGCTTAAGAAAAAATCTCATTATCCCCATTGTGTCTGGACAGCATTCAAATTACTGCACTTGAAGGCATGCCCAAATTTTAATTTGGACAGATAATTGGGAGACAAGCAATTTTCAAACACAGCTTTCTTGGATCTGAGCAAGGTTTTCACCAGGCTTTTGCACATTTCATTAAGCCTGTGCAGATCAGAGAGGGCGAACAGAAATCCACTGATCAGCTGCTCTGCTCATGCAAAAAGCAGAGATGAGATAATCAGTTTTGTACTAATTACGTTTTTATACAAAATATTGCATATCCTCAGGCAATTTGGGCCAGCATTTGAAGAAGTGGTATTAATTAAATTAGAGGATACCTTGTGACCTGTGGAGACATTTAGGAGCAACAGGTAACAGGGAGCAGACCACTAGAAAACAGACAGAAGAATTATGGGAGGAAAAATCCTGTCACTTAACAAATTCTGCCATTTCAAGCATATGGCTTGTGAGAAAGGAACTTGTCTACGCTGAGGGGGACTCTCTTTTCCCACCAGAAGCAACAGCTTTGGAGATTTATCCTTGGTAAAACTGACTGCCTTTTCTTATATAAGCACTGAGGATAGACAGACAGGGTTTGCCTGATTTTGATTATGGTTGTTAGCTTGGTTATCAGTTAAAATACATGAAAAAGTGTTAGCCAAGATCATGGCAGTATCTACCTTTTACATCAGGCTTTAAAGAAGTCTGGCAGTACACTTCAAGTTTCTAGAGTGACAATGCTTAAAGAGAATAGAGATTTGCCAAGAATTTGAGTTATGTTCACCTGGCCCCTCAGTGCAAAGAGTAGAATAATTTTCTTTACACCACAAAGTACACTTCCCTTAGACTGTTTTTATACTTCAAGGCAAGGCACCATATCTAGAAATGACCATATAGCATAAAGTTACTTAAAACTTGACTGGAGTCTCCAGGCACCAGCGCAGGAAATATGTTTATTAAGGCAACTTGTCTGAACAACAGGACAGAGACTTGAAGGGTATGTTAATTTGGATGATCAAACTGACTCTGCTATGAGAGAAATAAGCCTCATTGAACAAGTTAACCTCTTCATGTAGACAGTGGTTCTATGTGATTATTTCACAGCAACCTCTCTTACAAAAAGACATTCTAAAAACAGTCAGCTGCCCCTCGCAGTCTCATTTTATTCTCTAGTTGTCACTCATAAAATGCAAAGTCATTCAAACAAGGGCTTCATTTACAGGCTGTGGAAGCCCTACATCCCATGAACTTCTGTTAAATCATGCAGTTATGTAATCTGGATTATCCTACCATGCAGATTTCCAGGGCGAGCATAGCTAGCCTGAGCAGACTGGATAGCTTCCCGTTCCAGCTGCCCTGCTGTGACGCCAACTGCAGACTCTTTCTGTAACACATCTCTGCTCCAACCATCATCCTTTGAGACTGATATACTTTTGCCAGCCACTGAAAAATAAAACATCCAACAAAATCAGTTATGGAGACACCAAAACACACATCCACTAGGTAATATCATTTAGTTCAATTTAGGAGAGTACCACAGAATCCTATCAGCTAAAACACCACCACCCACCCAGCCCTCCTTCCAACAACATATTGCGCAGTCCTGTAGGCAAACACAGTCTGCTGCAGAGCTGGCAGCACACCTCACTACGGTAACTCCTTCTGGAGGTCCCTTGAACACCCATGGGCAACTCTTCTGACAGCTGTCTTCATCTGGAGATTGCTCACAGGTGAATAAGTAACACCACTGGCTTTGTGAAAGTCATCCTTCAGACTAGATGAGCATTGTGTGGTGCCTCATTTGTCTGTCAAAGTTCTGTAGAGATGATGAGATTAATTTTTTCCTCTGGAACAAAAGTGATTTCAGCCTATCTGAGTAAAGACAGGAACATGAAAGACATTACAGTGTGAGCTCAAATAATGGGTGTAGACTTGAGCTACACAGTTTCTGACCCAGTAGTCATGCTAGGGGAGCTAGATAGGGCTAAGGAAGTAAACACTGTGCAGATCTGTGCAGAATTTGATGCTCTAGCTGCCTGCTCCAACAGCACAAGACATCCTGGATTTGTTAATGCAGAGAAGGAAAAGGATTCTAACTCCTCCCTCTTTAATTCTGTAGTCAGGTCACATTTTCTGAAGCAGACACAGCCACAAGTTGGCAAATCCCTGACATGTACATGATATCCATCAAGACACATAAGTCACATTTAGAAATTCTTTGCTGGATCACCAAGCAAACGAAGCAACTTCTTAAAAAACCAATTCCCTTGCTTTTAAGCAAAGGTCCTTAGACTTTTGCTAGCTAAAGGCTGCCTGCTGTTAGAAGGGGCAAAACTATTCACCCTCTTTAATGCAGAGAAGTTACTTATCATTGAGAAGAAGAGACATGCTAGGAAGTATTTATTAGCACTAGTGAGATTGTGCATCCCTGACATCAAGCTGCAGGACTGCTTTGTAAAGTAAAACATCCATTCCTGAGCAGAAAAAACCTTTCCTTGGCCTCAGTTCTTTGCAGCTGAAGATACCTAGCAGTCAAGATGTGAAGGAGAAGAGAACCCTCATGCAAAAGCACAACAGCAGATCTGCCAGACCAGCTTTTCTCTATTTTCCTGGTAAGCCACAGCACAAAAAGTAGAATGGCCATGGGAACAGTATTTCAGTAGCAATCCTAAATCCTGCAAAACAACCATGTAGACAAAAGCTAAAAACTTAAGCAAAAAAATAAAGTGAAGGCCTCTCTAACTTAGTAAAACTGTAAGGCATCATGATGGATACTTGTAAGACAAATAATTTCTCCAACTCTTAGGAAGTCTAGAGCCAGAAACATAAAAGCATAGATTTATCCATTAGGAACAGACGTAGCAGCCAGGCTTTTTCAGAATGCTATCCAAGCCCTGAAAATATCTTCTTTAATTGAAGACTGAAAAGACCTTCCTCCAGGGTATCTTATCTGTGGCCTGGATTTAAAAAAAAAAACAAACAAAAAACCACAAAACAAAACACAACAAAAAACCCCAACCCTTCCCCCACCAAAACACAGACACTTTTCAGTTCACTACTTCACCCTGCTTGTAAATAAGATGACACTTCGCTGTGCAAGGGATGCTTGAAGAATGTATAAGCTCTAAATCCATTTTCAAAGTATTTTACTAAAATAGAGGATACAATCAGATCTTGCATGCCCTCGTGCCGTGATTGAGCCGTTACATATATTTATACTTATCAGAAGACAGCGTGTTTTAAACTGATTGGTGTTTTTAACATTGTGTTACAGGCTCATTGGTCTACATTTCACACTGGGCACACACAGATTGGTCAGTATTAAAAACCCCCCTTTAAACATCTACCTCCCCTTACTACATCAGTCCCCACTACACAAGAACAATAGTTCCCCTTCAACAGGATGGCTGCATAGCCTCCCAATCCTGTTAAGGACAGAAGGTCAGCACAACCCGCTCCTTCTAAAGTTCTTATCTTATTCTTCCCAAGGCCTGTAGCCGACAAGCTCCAGCACATCTCCCTCAATTAATTTAGCAGTGCTAGGAGTTTTGCTGAGATCAGCCAAATACTGTCCCACACCCTTGTATTTTGCAAATCCAATATGAACAAGTTCTGCAGTTCAGAAAGATGAAGTCTCACAAGCTGAAGAGAAATGGATCACAAAATGCACCTTTACACAAGTGATATTCATATGTTCCAGCAGGGAAGAGAATCTGCAGCCTTATAATAAATAAGATAATGATCTCTACAGCAGCCTTGCACTGATCTTCTAAGACTGAAACCAACTTTCATGAATCTTACCACAAACAGGGTTCTATTTGTTCAACAGGTAGAGGGAGCACCATAAATCCTGCAGCTACATAAAGGACTCTTGAAGTTCATGGGATTTTTCTAAACAACGTGCTGCTAACATTGGTAAAGGAGGATAATAGCTGTAACTAACAGCAACGGTTAGGAAACAAATAAATAAATAAGCTGCATCACCAGAAAGATCTCTTGGCATGTGTGAGACAGACTTGTCAGACTGTCTCAGAAGCAGCATATGAAGCAAGTTATAGCACCTTCGTATTAACTAAAAACGGTCTCTCGTGATGCTGTGGAAAGGAGTGAGTGAACACTCACTGGGAGTGATTTCTCTTCCCTGCAGACTCAACTTACTCAAAAGAACAGTGACACCTGATGCCCAGAGGTTAGAGAAAGAGACTTATTCAGGCTTTCAGACCCTGAATAAGGAATTGTACATTACTACATCAGGAAATCATTTACTTCCATCTATTCCTATGGGTTATGAAATATTCCACCTGTTTCTGCTCACACGCCAAGTCACAGGTCCCTAAAGACACAGGTGCCAAGGGTTTGTCTCAAGTTTGTAATTCTCCTGCCTCCATGTCTGCTCGCTCTTACAAACAGTCCTTATTATTTCAGTTATTCAAGAAAATTAATATAATGTTACAACTTTATAAAGAACTGAATATAAGCTGTTTTTTTCTGTCACTGGCTGTTGGCAGACAAATAATAGCAAACACTGAAACAAACTCTCACCCACTTCCAGTGCATACTCTGCTGAGAGCAGCACACCGAAGTCAGGGAGAGAAGCCACACTTACTTGCCAGGCTGCAACTGAGGTGGAGCTGCTCATGACTGTCTTGCGAAGCTCCTCCAGGATGGTGTCTGGAAGTTCTTTGTGAGACTGCAACAGCTGCTTACACTGAACTTGTCTCAGAAGCAAAAACAGAGCTGGGTGCTCAGGGCAGCTTTTTAAACCCTAAAACCAAAACAAGGCTCAACGTGATACCAGAATTATCACCTCCAAATATCAGAAGATACTTTTTATTTTTCCATTTTGGTCTTTATAGAAAAGAGCACTGAAATCATTCTCAGGATGCTTGTTACACAGCATTTTCCTCCTACCCTGCACAAGGGAGTGGTCCAGGAATTGACACATGAAAATAGGTAACATTTCTTCTGTCCTCAAAATAGATTTGAAGTTTATCCTAAATCTTTTACCTGTCCTACCCTTAGGGGTTTCTGAAAGATAAGATAGGTAAATGGCAGACCTCTAGTTCTCCTTTGGTTTCGAAATTATTAAAAGTTTTGGGCTAATGGAGGCAAAAACCTACCCTGTGGTTAAGTGACCTCGTGTATGTTCCAAGCAATTTCAGTTCTGCCAGCTAAGGTGCTTTATGCTCATTGGAACAGAAGCACTTTGCACTAAACACCTATATACAGGTATCTATAGATACCTACAGACTATTTTTTTGGGGGACAAACTCATGCAAAAAAGCAAGGACAGAAAACTAGTTATCTGTTGCTTTATGCTCAGGTGAAGCAGGTGAAGCTTCTGCAAGTCACAGGACATGTTATTTTACCTGTTCAAAGAATATTTTTGTTCTAAGAAACAACACTTGTACTTTACACCCATTTTTTAAAAAACGAAATATGCTGTCTCTGAGTCCTGATCAAGCTGCTGCTTTGTGAAGAACCCACAGACCTGCAGAGACTTTCTGAAATGTAATAAAAGCTGCAAGTATTTGCTGCAATTTTCCCCATTAAAAAGTGTGGAATTATGTTGTCTGTCTCACACTGAACAACCACAGTGCCTGACTCTCCATCCCCAGTTATACTGCTTTCTGAGGATCCTGGGGTCCAAAACTGTCAATGAGAGTTTGTGATACCAGAGAATGTTACTCTTGTTTCTTGACAAACTGCAGACGCTGACTGTTCTCTCCCCAAGCTATTTAACTAAAAAAAGAAATCAAAAACCCAACATAACCTTCCCCCATGCCCAGATACCACCTCGTATGTCTGGAAATCTCTGATCTTTGTTAATGTAAGACAGGTCAGTAGACATGCTGGTCCGAAAAGGAAATGACCTCCTACCCCCAAGCAAACAAAGAGACAAGAAAGTACTAACCCCTAAAAAACCAGCATATTCACTGACCTGGTTTGTTTTGGTTTGTTTGTTTTTTAAAGCCTCTTCCATGTTAATATGGAAATGCCATGAGCAAGGAGCACATTTGCATGGGATCAGCCTTTTTCCTTCCATCTGGGATGTGGGCTGCTGATTCCAATTAGTTCTTTGCTTATCTTTTGCCAAGTCTACTGGTCATGAACACATGAAACACACACTTGAGGCTTGTTAACACACCACTCCCCTACCCTGGCTGTGTTGCCTCAAGACTTTTCTTTTTAATAATTAAACTTGTAGCATCCACTTTTGGCTCTGAAATGGAGTACCAACAGAAAAGAGCAGCAGACATTTAAGTCCCCGACAAGTCTCCTACCTAGACTTCTTGCCTTAGATTTCTGTAACATTTTGTGCAATACCAGGTTAATGAATAAAGGTAGGAAGGGCAGACTTAGCTTTGTCATGTTATACACTGCTTATTTCAACTATCAATAGAGTTTTGGTATTGCAAATACAGTAAGTATCTTGAGGACAGGGGGAAAATGCTTGCAACTATTGCATCTTGTAGCTCTGATGGATCAGACAGTTGCTAATTCAAAGATTACCTTTTTGTAAAATGCACACAAATCATGATTTCTATACAATTCTACCACAATCTGCCAATATGATACCATCATACCTTGGTACAAAGAGCTTCAGCTTCTGAGAGTTTACCAGTCTCCTCTAGACTTGTAATAGTTTGACATAGACACCAGTCTTCAAGAGTCTGGATATAATTATGTGGAAGGTTATTTTCTCCAGCTGCAAAAACAGATAAAACACTTACCCACATTCCTGTATGTGCTGTAGTGTCTAGTAAGGCAGAACTTTTGGAGTATCAACCTGACATGACTACTTTCATTAACAGCAACATTTAAGAGATGGTAAAATTAAAAACAAGAGGAGGAGAAAAAAAAAAAGAATATGTTGTTTGAGCTAATGGTTTGAGAACAATCAATCAAACATGGAATTTTAATTCCAGTTTTCAAAACACTACGGACGTTGAGTAAGACTGAGGCTGAGGGTACCCATCTACTGTAAAAATCACAAAACTTGAGTACTTCAGCCTTTCCTTGGAAGCAGTGTTCCTGTGCTCTAATACATCCATCCTTCCTTTTAGGCATCAGAGTCCACTATTTTAAAAAAGCATTTGAGGCTTTGGAGGGGAAAGCAAGCTGTGATTAAGTAATTAACCCTAGCTGTGCATTAGGATTTACCATTTTTATGTGATAAAATACAGTTACAGCTCAAACCACTACTGAGCAATTCTCAGCTTATTTGCAAGCTTCTGAAATTCATCAGAGTACTGCAAGCTTAGAGCATTTCAATTCTATGTTATTTTTTTTAAACTAGAAAACTTGTATAGCTTACTTTTGGCTGAAACTGTAGATACAAGTGTCATCTCCAGACCCGTTCGCTTTGGCTGAGTGTTGTTGAGACAGACAACAGTGTTTTCAGCATGACAGGCTGCCATTAGCACTGCCCAGGCAGCAGGATTATCTAGAAAAGAATGGTTAAAGGCAATTCATGCCCATTCTAAATATGCTGCTAGTTAATTTAGACTGGTCTTTACCAGATTAAGCATAAAAACAATGACATCAATGGAACTACACATGGTAAATCAGAGATATCAAGAACAAGGTAAGTAAGTAATTAAATTAGACCCTTACATCAGCTCAGCCAAGGCAGTTGAAAACTATTTGCCTCTAACTCATTAGATTCTTCAAATTATAAAATGAAGATGCTGTTTCTAAAGCCAACTAATATATTTTTCACTGGTGTGCTAACCAAAGCTCCCAGTTCACTTCTGGCTACACAGATGAAATGTGACTATCACTTAGTGCTGCGTAACAGTGGCATCAAAAATCCCACGATGCCATCCACAGCTTTCAGTCACACAGACTCAGTCTTGTCTAGCCACTAGCATGGAAGTTATGGTGATTTCACCCATGTAAATTTTCATCCCAAAGATAATGAATTTTGCCAGCAAAACGACAGAAAGCTTGAAGATCTAACAAAGTAAAACATAAAGTGTGGCGGTTTTGAATAGCAGCCATAGTCTTGTGTGTACCTGTAGGAAAGGAATTTAAATTTTTAACTTGCAGACAAACTAATGCAACAGAGCAAAATCACTGCAGAAGAAATAACGTTTTGGTATTTCACTATCAAGTGTAAATTAGCACTTGAAAACCCCACTTGCACTTCACACGTTCAATGAAGATCACAGTTTACAAATAGGTGAACAGTTGCCTATTGTTTATAACCAGCACATGGTATAAGAACATTTCCAATTCAATACAAATTCTCAAGCTAGATGACTACATCTCTTCTGCCTGGTGTTTCACACTGACTCTGAGGGCACATGTGTTTTTCTTTTTTGTCTAATATATTAAATATTTATCTCTTCTCATGCTGAGGGATTAACAAATTGCCCAAGTTTTCAGACCATACCTTAAAAATCAGTGATTTTTTTCTTCTTGTCTGGTTTAATTCTCCATATCTAAACTTGGAATCACAGTTAAATTTTCAACTCTAAGCATTCTCCCCAAAACACATCGAGAGACAACCAGAAACAAAAAAACAAGCCAAGAAAAGTAGATCTTTTTCGTTAGCACAATAATTTTGTTTCTGAAGGGTAAAAAAAAAATCACTACTGTGTTTGAGAACAAGAGTAACCTGGACAGAGGTGGATTGCCTTCTGAATATTTTTCAGAGGATTGTTTTTCTCATCTTCTAGCATGTGACATCCTGCTGCCAACTGATTAACTGCAATATTCAGCAGAACCTCCTATAAAACAGAACATAGAAGTGACTTTAACACCTTAATTTAAGTGATCAGATGGAATTAACTTTAGGATTGTTTATGGAATTATAAAGTCTGCATTTTAAGAGAGCCAAACCTTTCCATGGTTTACATCACGTGCATATGCGACGCCTCCTGCCACAGCTCCGCCCTGCAAGATTAAATAAAGGAATAATTGATTTGGTCATATGACTGATTAATTAAGAGATTTTATACAAAATATAATGCCAAGATCTTTTTATCTTTGTTAATCAGAAATACCAAGTTTGCACAATGAGATCTTTTCCTTTCCTACAGCACAATCTCTTCATGAAGAATTAAGAGGGAGGCATTCAAGATCAGAGTTTGTCCATACGTTGTGTTTCTAATTTTAGCCCCATATAGAAAGGAGTTTGTTTTTGGCTGCTATTTCTGTTTACAGAATTGACATAACTTAAGACAAAGAGCACTTGTTTGGAGAAGAGCTAATAATAAGCATAAACACAACAAGGAAATACTGGCTAATACAAAAAGTGAAATTCACTAGATCAACCAAATTCAACATACCTAAGTCCTAATATATATTTCTATACACACATACAGATGTATAAAACTAAAAAAAAAAAAAAAAAGAGCAAAAAAAAAGCATAGTAGTCTTTTCTTGTTGGAATAATTCTAGCAGATTTTTCCTGTAAGTTTACTTCAAGGAGATAAAAAATTGCCACCTCATAAAAGATGCAGATAATTGGATATGTAATTTCAGTACGTACCTGTGCATTGCTCCATATGTATTTGTCTATGTAAGCCTTAAATTTTCACATTAACTAGTGAATGTCCACGTACTGAAGGTGTGGGGGGGTCTTTTTTTTTTAGTTAAGAAACAACACAGACTACTCAGGATGTAAACAGCACACACATATTACAGCAATACACTTACTTTTGCCTTTTGTGATGCACACAGTGGAAGAAGTCGAGACAAAAGAGACCAGAGGGCAGGATTATCAGGGTTACTGGGAAAAGAACAAGGATACAGGCTTAGATACAAACCTGGTCTTCCATGGCTCGGTAGGCAGTTGCTATAAATCCCAAATGGATCTTTTTGTATTAAGAAAACAACCCAGTGCAGTTGAAAATAGACATAGGTAGTAATTTAAAACAAACAAAGCAATGCTGAAGTTATACTGATGGCTAAAGAAAAAAAAAATGTACAATATACAGATCAATATTCATGGGAGGAAAACAAATAAACTCTAGGGCTACAGGTCTTGTCCTCAGAGTGTGAAGAACAAGGAATTTTAATTGCAGTTGAAGAAAAACAATTTGCATAAAGAATTGTCTCCAAAAATGCTCTGACAGAGGATAAAGTGTGTCTTGCTTAAAGGCACTGACTGAAGTTCCCCCTTTCTAAAACACCAAAGCTAAACAAAACACAGTTAAACACACACATTTAGCTAATGGAATGAACAGCTTCACATGCTCCTAGATATTAAATAAAAGCCCTAGAGACTTTTCTATGTTGAAGGTTCTCCTACATATGATGAAAAATAATTTCATAGAACAGTGGAACTGATCTAACTACCAAAGAAGCCACCAAAACAAAACAAGAAAACCCCAAACAAGCCACGAAATTTCTGTCATTTGATCCCATAAATCAGAAAGCAAGCTTCTCTCAGCTGATGCTACAACTTTAAGTGAGGTCTTCACACTTGCAAAACATTTTTTTTCCCCCAGAAGAATGCTTTAAGTGAACAGAGGCTTGCTTACTATTCAATGTAATCAAAGCAACACATTCACAAGACAATCTGAAGAAAGACAAAATACATACCTATGTATTGCTTTGGAGACTTCTCTCTGGGCTGCCACACTTCTACCTTGCAATGCATAAACAGCAGATGCAATAAGGCACCTGTCATAAATCTCATCTTTGGCTTTTTCATGCTTCAGTAATTCTTTTAGGGCTGCCGTTGCAAGTGTAGCATCCTGCTTTACCAGTCCGAGTGTGCACAAAGCCTTCAGACTTTCTATAGTAGGTTCCTTCAAGGAGCTGTTGAATCAGAGGGAGGGAAGGAGACACTATTTTGGAGCATAAATTAAACTCACTGTTAACATCACAGTATTTGTTCCTTCTGAGTCCTCATGCACCTTATGTATCATGTATGGTATACAGTGATAACAGCTTCTCACTGTGGGATCATGGATCAAGCTAGATCAGCATCCTTGAGGTCTCAGGATAAGGAAAACAGCAGTGGTTATGTGGAATTTCAGCACTCAAGCTTGTAATGTATCACTACTTGGAAAGACTGTGACACATTAATTGTCCTTCAGCAGCAGCCATAGCACGAATGGGAAGAGACAATGTGTAATACTGACGACAATTTCCTTTACTTGAAGACATTTGTACTGTTAACTGGTGTCAAACTGAGCTGTAGTCGGCCTATTTACAGCTCTGCAACAGAAATCCAGGAACTAACAAGCCAGAAATGAGCCTTCTGCACAGAACCCCTCTTTCTGAGAACAGGGATGTTCTGAGAAATTATGCTTTGTTTACATCAAGATTTGTTCCAACATAAGGCAGTCTGAGCATGCTTCCCATCACCTGTTACTTTTAGTACTGCTAGGAGTTGCACTGCTCCATTCTATTCACTATGAGAGTTTCACCTCCTATCAATAGTATTCCAAGCTATAGTGAGACCTCCTAGATACAGTTACTGATTGATCTCAGCAAATTTTTCTAATATATGTGGAGAACTCTTAACTAAATTAATCCCCTGATCTTCAGCCCAAGTGAGAATAAACAATGAGCTCAGTAAAAACAACCAAAATCAAAAACAGTGCATGGCAAAGGTAATTTGGATTTATTTCACTGTAATGTCCTAAATATAACTACAGAATCAAGTGCTGCTCACTTTCATTTATCAGGTGACTACAGGGTCGTAATCAAGGTTTTAAAGATTATTTTTGCCTTCAAAAAAAAAAGACAGGAATGTAAACTTCTATGTTTTGTTTTCAGTACCTAGCCAAGAAAAAATTCTAAGAGCTGTTAAACAAACTTGAATAGTCAGCACCAGATTATCAGGGGCAAAGGCCCTGCCCTTTGACAAGCAAGAAGTGGGATTCTATCAAATTAGCTATAAAGACACACTCATGGCTAAAAATCTCTGTACCAAGCTGGCCATGAGAAAAGAAGAAAGGCAGCTTCTTGTTCAAGGTGCTACTCAGGCCCTTTAAGTCACCTAGCATGAATTCTAGTCAATAAAGACATCTGTCTGTTGGACTAGAATGCACCATTTTTGTTCTTAATACTAAAATCCACTGTATCCCTTTGCAGCACTGTGCTTCCAATTCAGATCTAGACATAGCCACTGTGGTGTCACTTTCCTAAACAATTTACTATTTTCTTTCTTTAAACTCAAACTAACCTAATCTAGAAAACTCTTGTTGTTGATGTTTATGACAAAATTAGAAGTCTGCAGTGATTAATAGGATGTAGGAAATCCCCCTAGTTCCTAGCTAATTAATCATCAGGTACTCAGGATTTAGAGTGTACTAGTCATGGACCTTCACTATTTCAGTAATTTCAGGAGTCTGCTGGCAAGACAGAGGCTGTACAGCCACTACTGGAGCTCTCTATTGACAGAGAGTTGATCGTGAGAGGCTGAGATGTTATCTCTTAATCCATAGCTACCAGGAGACTAACAATGATGTGTGGGCTTTTAGTCTCCACAGCTCTGAAAAAAAAAAAAGGCATTCATGACTTAAGTGAACAAATGATACAGATCTGTTTGTTTTTCGGGGAAGCTGCAAGATTGTCCTTGTCTGTGAGGCTTGGAACACAATTGTTCTGGAGATTTTTGACTATTTAAACTGTCATCTAGGTTTCTTACAGCTGAAGAGCAAAAATATTGCTTAGGACAACAACAGAGTAATACTATCTTAAAACAGAAACCTATTAAAACTAGAATTTAAATATATTAGACATCCAAACCACTCAGCCCACTAACTCTTCCACTCCACACTGCTTTAAGAATATGGAAGAAGACACAGGCCATAAAATAGAAGATGTATCACATGAATAAGCTTAACAGATCACTGCATCGACTCCCACTTTTACACTGCAACATGAAAAGAAAATACCCACCTGAGATCCCCCAAAAGTAAATCTGAGGACTGAGTGGTACAATAAAACATCATATACTGATTAATATTCCCTCCACTCACCATTTAAACAGCAGTGTCTTTGCAGCATCCACTTTGTTCTGCTTATACTCTATTATTGCCAATGCAGTCAGGATATGTGCTTTATCTTCTTCAGACCCAGCAACAGACAAGGCTTTTTCATAGGCTGGTAAAAATTCAAGACTCAGAATTGAAGTAGGAGAAAAAAATACAATGTCTACAAAGCCTCTAGAAAGACATGATATTAGAACACACACAGGGGCGCTTTGGTTTCAGGTTCACTATATTTTCGCACCTCAATTCATAGGCAGAAGACAAAAAAAAGTTGACTAAGGCTTTGGTAGTAACTGTGTGTTAGGAAACACCAGATTTACAGGGCTGTTTAAGGAGCCTAGGAGGTGTTTAATATGTAGCAAGTGGAAATAGAGCTGAAAAACAGAATTGGGATATCCAGAAAAAGCCTGAAAGAACACAGTATGAATACTCCCTGTGATAATTCATTTATGAAGTAGCACTTCAGATGTGCACACATGACTCGGATTAAAAACAAAGAGTTATTTAAAATGCTGAGGTGGCTGCTGCTTTGCAAGTGCTTACCGTATATGCTGACAATTCAGTATACCTTTCTGTGAAGTCTCAACAGTGCAGAAATCCACACTACAGCACTTACACTGATTGCTAAAGTGCTTTGAACAACACATTAATCTCCTACCCAGAACTGATTTTCTCCAGGAAAGCCATTTGAGAAGGGAAGCTAACAGAACAATAGCTTAATGGACAAGAATTAAACACTTGAAGAAATGCAGCTTCCCTTTGCACATTTGAATAGTTCTAGCTCCCTGCTTGAACAGCCTAATGATTAAAATAGTTGTGGAATTTGTACTCATGCATTAGGACTGAAAGAGTGAAATAAACTTAACTATAGCTAGGTTGGTCAGACAAACAAATTTTGGTAATCTCAAGAGAAGTGTCCCATAATGCTTTGAATTAGGCAGATGCTTACCTTTGATACTTTCTTGAAAGAGTCCTTTCTTGAAGTAGGCTAATGCTATCCCCACAATGCCATCAAACTCAGTCAGGGGCGTTGATGTGTAAACCTCGATGGCCTTATCACACTCACCAAGGGCACTGTCAAAACAAAAACAGTCACTGGTATGAAGGATGTAGCAACAGCTGCTGTGATTCAGACAAGCTGTCCTTGCAGACCAGTATACCCTCTTTTCCACAGCAGATGTAAGCAGACACCTGGAAAAGAGCAAGATTAGGACAAGAATGTGCAATATTCCCCACTCTCTCCAACTACTTTTGATACGAGAAAGTCCTCTCCATCTGCATGATAGCTGTATGCAAGGACATCACTTAATGCCCCACACAATAGAGTGGGAGAAAATAGCAAAGGAGAAACATGAAAAAAACCCAAATCAAAGTATGCATGCAGAGAGACAGGCAAGTACACCTACCTACAGAGAGAGATACAGCACTCTTGTTCCAGGACCACTATGGAAGAAATTACACAGGACTGTGTTCATTAGAATTAGTTATTAGTTACTAGAGCTGTGCTTTTGTGCAAGTTGCTCACAGGAATCACCACGCATGCAGCTTGGATATGAGACTACAGGAACTGAATAGTTGCTTCTAAAAATCATCCCTGAAGTTGAAGAATTAATTATCAGGTTACCACAACCTAAAAGTTCCAGTGCCACGTACAGAAATGTAAGAATACATGAAGTTTCCTTAGAGAGCTGACAAATATCTAATTAGTAGAGCTTGAGCTATCTCATATCAAACAGAAGTTTGAAAGTCTTCATCTGTTAAGACTTGTGTCCTGCTTTCCCTGAGAACACAAAGGGAACTTAAGAATTGTGAGTAGGATTGCAGCAGAGAGGGTCATCAGCAGAAAGATCACATAGAAGTACACAACACCCCAACCTCACGTGCTTCAGGTTGTACATGTCAATACAAATTCAAAGGGCAGGGAGAAGGGAATGAAAATAAACCTTGAAGCAGATATTTTATTCACACTAAGTCTGCTACACATCTGAAGTGTGCAGATCATAAAAAAACCCCAATTTATTCTGGAGACCATAAAAAAGTTGTGTTGTGTAGACTGTGTTAAGGCACTTAAGTATGAAGCTGAGGATAAAGGAATCCCTGATATGGGACAAACTGTGAAGACAAACAGCAATGCCTTGCAATCTGATTTTGTTTTTTTTTTTTTTTTTAATCCATTGCCCATTTCTGGAGCACATACAAAGTCCAAACTTGTTTACAATTAAGAATGATGCTTTACAGATTATTTTTAGCAACCATCTTTTCACCTTTCTGCCTCACCACTGCATTCACTACATCCAAAGCTGAAGTTAGGGGCTGGGAAAATATGTCAACAAACACTTACCACAGTGACCTGCCGTAGTTTTGCATTGCTATGTTGTATTTCTCAGTATCCTCAGAGTTTTTCAGCAATGAAGCTGCCCTGAAAACAAATGCAATTAAGAATGATTAACACCTGATTATAAGATGCATATTTTGACAATAGTTCTCAGAGCAAAATGGACAAGTGTGTTTTATGCAGAAGCTTTTCCATGTTAATTAAGCACAAACAGAGCCTATGCTACTGTTTTAATGGAGCAGCAAACATGTTCACCCAACATGGTTTCCTTTGCCACCTCCCCCCACCGTTGGAAGAGAGAATTAAAAATTAACACAACGCCCAACCACCTCCATTAATGAGAATGGGGCAGAGACTAAAACCAAAATCCAGCTTACCAACTCCCAAAATTTTACTTAAATCCCACACAGTGAATTAGCTAAATGTCCTGGTGACACACACAAGCCTTGGAACGCCTTTACTTCTCCAGTTCTGTGTTCTGCATTTCCAAATTTGATGTAAGAGCACTCCCACACCTCCCTTTACAATACACTCAGTTGAAATGTGCTGTTCAATTGAGAAAGTAAGGTTTACTAAAGGAAAAGAAAGACCTTTAAGTTTTTCAGCTGGTGCATGGAAAAAGAAATCAAGTTGCTTCTCTCAGTGAACTTTTTGGGGTGTATAGTTTACCTCTCATAGGCGTCTGCTGCCTGCCTTTTTAGGTGCAGACACTCATTCAAATAACCAAGCATTGCGAAAGCAGATGCATCGTCTGGATTTCTTTCTAGAAAATCAGAATTGACAATACAGGAGAAGATGATCAGACAGAGCTGTGAAAAAAGCATTACAAAAACACTGCTACACTGATGCTACAGTGTGGGCATATACACAAAACACTTTGCCAAGTGCTTCTGCCAGTTGCTGACTGGGATAATTTTGACAGGCTACAGGTAAATAAAGGAAAGATACAAGGACCTGCAATATGACATCAGGTTAGCTCAAAAATGTTTCAAATCTTGTGACACAGCATTAACACACTCAATATATTTTAAGTTTTTCAGCCCGTAGTGGTTTGGGTTTTTTTGTAATAGAATAGGAAACTATTCAGCTTGTATTGACTCTAGTAAAATACTGCAAGAATCTTCTGGTTTATTTTTAATACCACAACTCTGAAAAGCTTGTCAGTAGCTAAAGCACAGATTTGTGAGCTGTCAGCTCACCTCAGACTTTTAACCCTTTTTTCCCAGACAAGGAAGGATCACATAGGCCCCTCCTGCAGTCTGTTCAAGAACAGGGATTTCACAAAGAAATATAGTCTCACACATTTATCTAATTTTAAGTGCTTGCACCTTATTTTGTAGCTCTCAAAAATCAGTAACAGAGCTGTCCAAGGAGTGAAGTCAACAGGACCCCCTGGGAAACTGCCCTCAGAGACAAGGGAGCAGAATAGAGCTGGCAGAGCTTTCAGGACACTTTCCACAGAGCACAAGAGTTCTTGATCCCCAGGTGCAACAAATCAGGAAAGGACAGCAAGAGACTGGCATGGAGTTGAGATCTGTTGGTCAAACTAAGGGGGCAAAAAGGAAATGCCCAGGCAGTGGAAGCAGGGACAGGTATCCTGGGAAGAGTACAGGGACACTGCCTGGTTCTGTAGGGATGGGGTCAGGCCAAGGCGCAGCTTGAGCTGAGCTTGGCAAGGGATGCAAAGAGTAATAAGAAGGGGTTCTACAGGTATGAATCGTAGAATGGTTTGGGTTGGAAGGGACCTTAAAGCTCATCCAGTTCCAACCCCCCTGCCAGCAGCAGGGACACCTTCCACTAGACCAGGTTGATCAAAGCCTCATCCAACCTGGCCGAGAACACTTCCAGGGAGGAGCAGCCACAACTTCCTTGGGCAACCTGTTCCAGTGTCTCACCACCCTCACAGTGAAGAACTTCTTCCTAATATCTCATCTAAACCTCCCCTCTTTCAGCTTAAACCCACTTCCCCTAGTTTTTGAAGGTAGAAGCCTTCCAGAGAAGGAAGGTCAAAGGAAGCGTAGGGCTCCTGATGAACAAGACTGGCAAACCAGTAACAACAGACAAGGAGAAGGCTGAGGTACTCAATAACTGCTTTGTCTCATTCTCCACTGGCAATCTGCCTTCTCACACCTCTCGAGTGGATCGACCACAAGACAGGGACTGGGGGGAGCAAAATTCCTCCCACTCTAAGAGATCAGGTTTGTGACCACCTAAGGAACCCGAACATACGTAAATCCATGGAACCCAATGAGATGCATCTCAAGAGCCCTGAGGGAATGGGCTGATGTAGTTGCCAAGCCAGTCTCCATGATAATTGAGAAGTCATGGCAGTAAGGTGAAGTCCCTGGTGAATGGACAAAGGGAAACTGCACTCATTTTTAAAAATGGTAGAAAGGAGGACCCTGGGAACTACCAGCCTGTCAGGCTCACCTCTGTGCCTGGGAAGATCACAGAACAGATCACCCCAGACACTGTGCTAAGGCACATGGAGGACAGGGAGGTGGTTCGAGACAGGCAGCATGGCTTCACCAAGGGCAAGTCTTGCCTGACCAACCTAGTGGCCTTCTGTGATGGAGTGACTACATCACTGAACAAGGGAAAAGCCAAGGATGTCATCTGTCTGGATTTCTGAAAGGCCTTTGACATGGTCCTCAAGAATATAATTATCTCTAAATTAGAGGGTTACAGATTTGCAGGATGGACTGTTCAGTGGATGAGGAATTGGTTGGATGGTCACATCCAGAGTGTAGTGGTCAATGCCTCAATGTCCAGATGGAGATTGGTGATGAGT